AGAACACCCTTTAGAAAGGATGTCCTCAATTTGGCCCCGAACATCCTTCTGTCCGAGTAGACGACGTTCCCAGGTGTCTGCAGATGTTAGTCCGTGACAAAGTTTTGAGTACACGATATGCCTTTTGTTACCGGGAGCTGTTTGAACAGCGAATTCGTAAAGAGTGGGCCTCGTCAACTTCCCATCAAAAATTTCCTTTCTTCGGTAACCAAGATGGGCGCCATTTCTTTTCTCCCACATGTCACTATCAGTTTTATTACATGATATGCATGTTTGCCAGTCACTCCACTTTCGGTCAGACAGAGCAAAGTGAGATTGCGGAACGTTTTCTCTTCTTAACTTAGGTGCAACAATTTTCTGCAATGAAAAGTAAAGAAGGAATAATGAACAACTGCATAGTAAAGATTTTCTTCAATTAAGGAAAGCAAGTTCGTTGATCGACTAAATACCACAATTACAGCCACTTGAATTATGTTAACAGTCTTTTTTTTCCACTTGATGACATCTTACATATAGTTAAGCATAAAACCATATACACTTTTTACAACGAATATTATATCACTATCATATAACCACAACCGGAAGCTTTAAGTTCGCAACCAATTGAAGGTGTGGAAATACAATCTTGTTGTTTACTGAAATACTACACGGATGTGATTTGAAAGTAAGACGAAAATAGTACAGCATATATACACACGAGACGTATAATTACCTTCATAACTGTGCGAGAGTTCTTTCCAGTTCGTGTACGTTTAGGGGCCAAAGATGTCTTTCCCATTTTCTTCTTCATATTTGTTAAAGATGGGACTTTCGTTAGTGACGGCACCTTGATTAGAGCCGGAGATTTTGGTACAACAGTCGTATCCATCTTGGAATCGTCATGGCTACTATCAGCCCTTTTGAGAACTCCGAAGAGTGTATCTAAATCTTTGTGAATACCCCCAGTGGCATCTCTCGCCCTGACTTCCTTCTCGTAATCCTGAAATGAGTAATTTGTGTAACCTAGTCTTATTTGGAATTAGAATTATAGGTATACAAATAGACTTTTCGGATGTCATAAACATTCCGACAACTTTTAGTCAATCAACATGTATATGTTTTGAGTGATGCATTACCTCTTTCGTTATTGCATTCTTTTGTATGTAATAAATACTGTAATTATGGTATATGCACCTACCTGTAAAAACTCGGCGCCCTTTTCTCTGTAGCAGATCGA